TCCTTTTTTAAAAAAAATAAACTTGATGAATCTTTCAAGCCTTGTATGAAAGGTGAATGAGATGGAGTAATATTAACCATCTAGTCCTTCCACTTAGTCATTCTACAGATTGGGAAATGTTTTTGGCTCTTCTTTGCGGCCTCTGTGAATGCACACAAATGAGTCAAGGCTGTGTCTGCGCAGGACTCCTCAAAATATTCTAGAGTTTAAAACATGTGATTAATAGAACGTTGCCCCGTGGTGCGCATGCTCCAGCCGCCCTTAATACCTTTGTTCCTTTTTACCACTGCTGCGATTGGACTTCTCTGTGCTAGTGCTGTGTTTTCTTCCTTACCTTGTATTGATTCTGGTCTGGCTTACTGATTATCGCTGTTTCTATGGTAAAGTTTTGATCTTGGACTGTCTACGGTTACGATTTTTGGATTCTGATTTATACGTTCCCTCGGTTTTTGACATCGGACTGATACCGGTTAATGTTTTTGGGTTACGGACGTGATTGTGGTTGTTATTATTCGGATTCTCTCCTTTCGACTTGGATATAGGACAATCATCAATGTTTCCCCATGAGTCTGCCTTCCCTTTCCCCTACCTACCTCTCACGCAATTCTGAGAATGTTATGGCCTCCTCAGGCCCATTCAAGAGGTGTACTTTGTGCACCAACAAAATCCCCTTTACAGATGGCCACGACCACTGCTTTTTTTGCTTGGGGGAGAGGCACCAGACTCACTCTTATCAAAAGTGCAAGAAATTGTCGAAACTGGCCCTTAAACTTTGCTTACAGAGGCCTAAAATCGTACCTTTGGGGAAAAATAGCTTCCTCCGTCAAACTGGACAACCATGGAGTCAGCCCCAATGCCACCTCCTACTCCTCGTCCCGAGTCTGAGGTACCTTCGGTTCCAGCTACCTCATCCGCAAGGTCATCTTCCAAGTCTTCTAAGCAGAAGTATTCAGCATCAACATCAAAGAAGGTTTCGGCATCGTTGTCAATGTTGAAATTACCGTATTTTTTGCACCATAAGACACACATTTTCCCCCTCCAAAAGGGGGGTAGAAAGTCTGTGCGTCTTATGGTGCGAAGGTGGTGACTTCGCCCCCACTGGCCCCGTGGGGGGGAGCGTCGCAAGGGTCTGAGGGAGCCTTCCAGGACCCTTGCGATGCTCCCGCACCCCCCCACGGGGCCAGCGCAGGCGAAATCGCCAGCTTCGTGG